GCAACTGCTAAAGCCCATGTTGCGGGAAATCCACAGAAGAAATGATGAGCCACGCTGCTTCGCAGAGCGTTATTATTGTTATTATTATTATTATTATTATTATTATTATTATTATTATTATTATTATTATTATTATTATCATTCTTAAAGATGTTTCTTGGGTACGTGGGAGTTGAGATGAATGCCAAGTTGGGTGACGCATGCGCTTTGGTGATTGTTGATGCTATCATGTACGGCCTTGGGAGGCCACAGGACAATCCATGAATCGAAAAGCGGCCACCCTGTCAGCAAAAAGGCGGGTAATTCCTTACATGAGCCACAATCAAAACCGATTCGGGTAGATGGAGGTTAGTAAGGGAGACTCCCAGCCATAAATAGTTGCGGATATCCGCCTTCTTAATTCTTGAAGCATGGTTCTGGGATCACGCCCATTGTAATCACCCGGGTTTTGATTATGACTCAGGGAAGCAAACAAGTCCAGTTTGTCAGCCACCAGTTTTATCAGAACATGGCTGTGGGTTGCTCCTTTCTTTGAGCTTAGGTTTCGGCCAGCGACTCACCGACTCAGAGACTCGCTTTGCGCTTTGCGCATGGAGGCCCTCGGATTCCCGGCGAGAGATGCACCTCTGCCACGCTTCAAGGACTCCGCTGGTGGACTTGCTTGGTATTCAAATGGCGGCGTTGTGACTTGGCAGTTCCCAGCGAATCATCTGCTTCCTTTGGTTTTTACTTGTTTCTTGTTGGCTTAGTGGCTGGGTTTCCATGTAAAGGTCAAACACTTTGAGCAGGGGTTCGTTTTGAACAGCACAGGATAAGGGGGAAACACCCTAACGAGTATTGAGGATCTCACTCCTTGAGTTCCGTTTCGGACTTTCTCCTTTGTGGGTCTGGAGCCATTTTAGTGGTAAACCAAAAGTTTGGTCGCTTTCGCCAATCTGCTCAGGAAGTGAGGTATTGACAGCGTGCTTGGCGTCAGCATGAGTAGTCGGTAGTGATGCTGGCCGTTGACATGGTGGCCTTTTCTGGTTTTCGGATTGGACCCCCCTAAAAACGTCGGTGCTTTTGGTGTCCATATAAAGCCAACCAAAAAGGGTACCCTCAAAAAAGACAGACCCATATTTGCAAGTGCCGTGTTTGGTCGTGATGGCAATGTTGGTACTGACTGGCGGCAGTATCAGCGATGCGCATGTTCACAAGGAATGCAAGTGAGGTTGAATATATTTTGTTTGCCCTCTTGTTATGACTGTGTTGTTGTCATGGGTGCACACATGGTTGGCTTGCCAATGTCAAGATCTGCGGGCTTTACTAGCTGAGAGGGGGCGAAGAAGCCAGCTCGACAAGACTTCTTTTGTTTTTGCGTTTGTTGGATAGCCCTCAGCCCTGTAAGGCAATCCTTAATCCTGGGTCACGAAAGGGGTCGGATCCTTAGTGGTTGTCGAACAGGGATGGCTTGGATTGGCGAACGCTCCATTTTGAGCAGCCCATATGTTAGTTTGCAGCTCCTGTTGGTGGGATCCCTTTCAGGCAGCTCTGAAAGAGGTCGCTGACCACTTGTGCCGTGCAAGCCAAGTTTTCGAAGTTTGGACAAACATAATTCGTCACATGTTGAAATGGATCTGGGTTTCCCAAAGGAATTGAGGAGTCACAACTATTTGCAGCGCTGTTGCGGCCTGTTGAGTGTTCGCCCAGAGGCACCCTGCCCCAAACAATGGGCTTTCGAACTAGTCAAGACTTGGTGGCTCCCAGCCATCCGGTTCCTTAGGTTCTTAGGTCTTTGGGGTTTTTACTTGGTTCAGTGGCAGTTTCCATTTAAACCACTAAAAGTGATTCTTTTAGCAGGGGAACTGAGGGCATCCCAGAAGTTGAGCGCACTATACCTGCCCAATTCATGGAAGACTGCTTGTGACAGGGTTCTCCTCGATTTTGAGGCCTTCAACCCACTGAGTAGGAAGAGCATCGATGGCTTTGCCGGTCTTGCAGCTCCTTATTCTCTCTCCTGCATACGCGTTGTCGACAACTGTCGACCTATGTCGACCTCAAAATGTGAAAGGAGTACCAAAGGAGGGGGGGCACCACAGTAAGATTGACAGAGACACGGTTGGCATATGAATTATGTACCCTTCCGCCAATGGAAGTGCCCCGAACCCTGTTGAAAAGGGGTCAGCGCGATCCAGTGTTCGTTGGTTTCGAGGGTGGCCATCACTTCACCCAGTTTGGGAATCTTGAGTGGCGGCCCAGAGGATAATCGCTTGTTCGATAGAGAGATGCAAGATGTGAGCCAGGAATCCCGCTGACGTTTGCTTGTCCGGGGCATGTGTCACAACGCGTTGGATCAGTTTTTGAGCCCCATAGAACTGTGGCTATTTGGTTGGATCTTTGGACTTTAACTTTTTGGGAAACAGGCCAGATTATCCGAATTGAACCCAACAAAGTGATACACTTTTTGCAGAGGGGTCTTTACAGCAACCAAGAGAAGACCAGCATGAGCTACTGCCCTTCCTTTGCCAACAGGTTCAGGTGAACTTCCTGCGAAGATGGGGAGCCTGAATTTGTGGTGTGGCTCACCGTCTCACCAACTCATCCTTTCCAAGCTGTGCACAACTGGGGTCCTTATTTTGACGGTTTTCGGGGGTCACTGTATCAAAGCCAGAACATTGGGGTTGTTTCCCATTCACCCACCACTCAGGGGTGACTTTGATGGTAAAATCATCAGGCCGCTAGAACTCTCGAACTTGTCTGCGGTTGTTAAAGAGACGTTTGGAACGTTGTACCGACTTTTCTTTGATCAGCGGCCACTACAGCTCCCTCACTTCTCGTTGTAGAGACGCTTTTAGGACCCACGGATTTTGCGGACACACCGAGCCCCGGGCTTAGGGATCAACTTTCTCGAGAAATTCTCGGGCACAGGAGCCATGGAGGAGAAGGCCCAGAGTGAAGCTGCGAGCGATTTTTGGTTTTGGGTTTTTTGGGGGTTGTTTTTTGGGGGAGGGCAGGACTCTCAAGGGAAAAATGGGCGTGGTGTTTGAAAGATTTATTTTTATTTTTTGGGGGGGGCTGCGGAAAAAAAGAGGCCGCCACCATGGAATGTGCCTTTTGGTGGGTTCACCATCTATATAGACCATAATCTTGGTCTTTTCGATTCGCGACGGCCTGTTGGTGTCCTTTCAAGATGGTCGAACGAGGGGGTAAGTGACCTTTGGGTGTGTTTTGAAAATGTGATCCAGCATATCAAAATAATTGGGGACCAACAGATTATGGTTTGTCCTGTAGTTTCCCTTTAACGCAACCTCAAAAAGGGTACCCCTCAAACTAGAGTTACTCATTTAAATCCTGGGTTCTGTTTGCCTCTATGTGGCTTGAGTGTCGAAGAGATGCTGGGACCATGGTCCAACTAGGGATCAAAGGAACATACTTGCAACTCACTCCCTGCGTTCCTGGTCGTTCTACTTTGCAAGCAAACAAGTTTGGCGGCGCTAAACAGTTTGTTTGCTTGGCCAGCCCACTCGGGAACTGACGCAGCGCTCCAGCTTGCCTTGCAGTTTGTAAGGGCCTCTCACATTGCGCCAGCTCCGGAACGGATGTAAGGCTGCCCGCACGCACGGAACAACAGTCCCTCTCGCCTCTCACATAATGAGTGCAGACCTGCCGATTTGCCTCAAATCTCAAAGACCTGCAGGATCTACAGGATTTGTTGGCCAACAAAACCAGGGCGCTGGGGACATCCCTCCCACCAATTAACATGGGGGAGATTGGCCAAGGGGAATCTGCAGAAGGGAGAGCTAGGACATCAAGAGACCCTTCCGCATTGGTTAAGGGAACTGGAGGGATCGCGGCCGTTGGAAGGGTGTTATCCGGATCTGGGACCGCGATAGCATGGCCTAAAAAAGTGCCAAGCTCATTTCGGGGGGTTACACGAGCTGACCACAACAAAGGTTGTCAATATTATGCACGAGTTCTGACTAGACCTGCATGGTGTTAGTGACCCAAGTGCAGTCATTGGAGAATTCAAAAATATTTTCTTCTCATAGCTGTTGCTTTCCGCAGGAGGCCTATGGCTATATCCCAAAGCGTTTTTTTTTCTTCATTGGATCGGGTTGCATCCACGTGGCTGCATTCTCAATTCATTGGGATGGCTATATCGGCGCCCCGGGCTTAAGCGACTCCGTTTCACCTGAAGGCCCCTGGAGAGAGTGGCTTTGGCGACATTTTTGCGCCACCCGGATCTCCCGGATCTGTTGATGTTTTCGTTTCCGCCTTACGTGTCCTTGAGTTACTAGGTCCCCCAGCTAGGTGCCCTTTTACCGTTTTTTTGGGGAGGGTTCCCCTAGTAAACTTGACTACAGAAAAAAAGAAGCCGGGTACCCTTATTCTAACCTCTCTTCTGGAGGACCTAGGTTAGGAACTTACCAAGTTTGCCAATCTCGGCTCGGTCCCTGCGAGCTGGCAACTCCAACTCGCACTTCGTCGGCAGGCCTTGGGCCCAAAAGAGCCAAGAGATTTGCATCTGACATACAGCAACAAGAAGTGGTTGATGCACTTGTCGATTTGGATTGAACGTTTACGTTGCGTGGTTTGCTGTTCTCAGCAGCATTGTTTGATCTTGTTGCTCACCACAGCTGCCAACCAACTGTCCCAAGCCTTACACTGTAGACACATCGTTGCCAACAGCTGCTTTAGCGAGATGTCAATACACATGAGTCAGACTTATCATAATACTGATTGGCAGCGCTCCTCATTTCCTAAATGAGATTCAATTAAACCACGCATACTCAAGCTGTGACTGACAAATTGTCGCTGGGAAAGTTTGACAACCACACCCACACCCATGGTTGGACGTGCTCCACAAACTCCAAGAACTCCAGCCCAAGCTTCCAGCATGCTGGCAACTTGCCGGGAACTGCGGCCATATGTTTCACCATCTTGTGGACCAGGAACCGCGCTAACCACAAGACTTCACTCTTCTTAGCATGTGATTCAGTTTTTGTTTGTGTTTTGTTTCAGCTATGTTCTGCTGATCTTCCTGCTTTGACTCCCATGGACCGGCTGGCGCTTTGGGACTGGAGAGCCGGTCACTGGGCGGCGCTTGGCAGCGCTGGCCTGCTGAGCGTTTGGGCCTGGAAGGCGGCGGCAATCGGCCGGTTCTCTTCGGCTGGGAAATGCATTTTGTTAATCTACTGGAAATAGGCGCTCGTCGTTTTTTTTTTTTTTCCAGGGGACTTCAAGCAAACGGAGGTTTCTTGATTGAAGTCGCGTTGTTTTTGTTTCGATTTCCTCATCTTGGACTTCCACCACTCACGTGAGTGAGCGCCCTTGTTTGCATTTGGCAGATTTGCAGTGGTTTGTCAGGGTGCTCCAGTGAGGGAGCAATCATCAGCAGGGGAAAGATCAACCGTGTTCCATGCTGTCCTTTGCGGGGCTAAAGCAACTTGCGGTTTTCGAATCCCAGACAAGGCGGGATCTCCCCTTGAGCATCTCCCAAATGTATCCGCTGCGATTCCTTTGGGCTAAGGTGTCATTCTTTGAACGGTGCCTTTTTTCTTCCTTTCGGTTTTTCAGCGGGGTTCCCCTAAGCATCTGCCCAACAGATCGAAATCAGCATCGGGGGTTCGCCTGGCCAGGGGAAGCAACAAGAGGCCGTTGGTTAGACTTTGTTCATTCCTTGAGGGAGTTGTCAAAAGAGGTTTGGAACCCAAAGAAGGTTCCTTCCTACCTCAATCCTTGTTTGGAACAGTTGCTAAAGAAGGTTTGGAACAGTTCCTTCCTACCTCAATCAACCTGTTTGGAGTTGTTAAAAGAGGTTTCAGGTTTGCCTAAGAGGACGTTAAGCTTCCATCTGCTGAAATTAATATGTTTCCCCCTGTTGGTGTTCAAGGAGTTTCCATCACTACTGGAGACAGGTGCTCGCTTTTCTCCTGGGGACATACATGGAGGTAACAGGGGTACCGCCGCCCTTTTCACCGCTTTTTCACGAGGCCACAGAGACCAAGTTCCCAAATTCTGTTAAATCGACTACTTTGGTCTTCCAACAAGGGGAGATGCTGATCTTCCAACCCAAGTTTTGGGCGTACTAAAAATTGAGGACTTGGCAACCCGAGACTTAGCTAAATGGTTGGCCCCGTCGACAAACGATCTCGGACAAAAGGTCCACACCTGAGCAAACGCCCGTTGAACCTCCCAAGCTGGCCAGGGCTTCCGTTTGGTTTCCTTTTGAAGCCAAACAAAAGTGGGTGCATGGAGTCTGCATGACCGTTTCAACATGGGCTCATGACCCTCTTTTTTGGGGTAATGACTTGATTGGAGAGCTCGTCACTGTGAGCATGCGCTTTGTTCACATGTTGAAGGGAAATTCGAGTTGAGCTCTGTTTGAGCAATTTATGTTTGAATGTTAAAACTGTTTGCAAATAAGCGAGAGTCCTGTGAAATGTCTAACTTGAAATAGGCAACGTTTCGTTTAAATCATGCATCCAACATACAAAATTATGGTCGGATTCCTTCCTATTCTTGAACCAGGAAAATGAACAAAAACAAACAACCTCGAGACAACCAACTGTTCAGACCCATGTCCCAGATCCTGCAACCATTCCCCAATGGGTCTGAACTGTTTTTGTTTTTTTGATGTTGTTTGTTTTCTCAAGGTGGTTTCTGTATTGTCAAGTGTGAAACGCCTGTAGAGAACCAAAAGAAAGAGTTCAGATCCATGTGCCACTCCCCAATGTGGCTTGTTTTGTGTTGGTTTTCTTGAGGTCTTCCATGTTCAGCTTTCAGATGCTCATGTTCATGAAAATGCCCGGAGAGGAAACGTGTTCTTATGTCTTTAAGGGTGATGGAGACTCCAGGTACCCTCGAAAGAACTTGCTGGTGCTCAGCAGGGAATGAGGGAATGAACTCTATAAACCAACCCCTATGGTTTCCTTTATTTGGGAATCTTCAAATGGTTCACTCCCACAGTCCCTGCGTACCTCACTTCCTGAGTTCATGAACTGTAAACTTTCTCGGAAGACCATTTTAGTGGCGAGCAGCGAGTTCGGTTATTTTGTTTGGCCAGTCCAGAAACAACGAGTTTGATTGTTTTTGTTGGCCAATCCACTCAGGGTTTGTGCTATCGCACCAGCAAGACCCTAGAGTTCAACCCCCATTAAAAGAAGGGCTGACCCAATTTGGATGATGACAATCCTTAGGTGAAGAATGATGGTTCTATGATCCCCCATTGTCTTATTGATGGTTTGAACCCCAGGGAAGAGGCCATCATTTCCCTCGGCTGGTCCCAAGCATGGAAGGCTGCGGCTGCCTCTGCGCCCTTGAGCCCCTCGGAAGACATGCGAAGCTGCTTCTTGCGCGGGATAGGTGTCATTAGGTTTGGCGGCTTCCAGCACCATCCGGTTCCTTGCCACTCTAGGGTTAAGAGGTCACCCTTTGTCCAACAATCATGGAAGCTGACAGGAGAGCTTTGGAAGGCTATTGTCCTTTTGGGGAACCCCTTTGTGCACTTCCATGTTGGAGGGAGGTTAAGAGTTAAACCTCTCGGCAGGGGATCTGAGGGCAGCCTAGTGTCAGCCGGCTGGTTTCCTCGCCCGGGTTCCAGCTGGATTTTGGAGCTCAACCACTTGGGTTGGAGTAGAAAGCAGCTTGGGTGTGGGCACCGGGCAACGGAAAAACCGTGTGCTGCATACCAAGCTCTAGGACCCTTAGGGTAGGTTAGTTTGGTTAGAAGTAGATGGGGTCCACTGGTTTGAATGGGTCTTGTTAAATGGGTCTTATATTGTTTTACACACCATTTACCATTGCAATCTAGTTTTTCCAAAAGGTCCTCTTTGCCAACGACGGCAAAAGCTGCAAATAAAACAGGGGTGTCCAATCGTAGAAGCTGACACATGTTTCTGGAAAGAAGCATTCTTAAAGAGGTCAGGTGCATTGCGAACATTTTGGCCCGGCTAAAAGTATATGTCTTGGATGCAAAACGACCTCCCCAACAAAAGGGTACTGAACAATTTCCCCACCCCTAAACCACCTACCTGCTTCCCCGGCAACATTCCCAAGAGGTATGTTCCCCTAACATGGCCCACACCTGAGGAAATTACACAGCAAGTCATACCATGGGTTTCTATTGCATACCTAGTCTACCTTAAACGATGCATTCGTTCCCGTAGCCGGACAGCCTGTGGCCAATTTCGGGTTTGGGACATGGGCTAATCAAGACAATTTCCCCCAAACCTCTAGTTTGGCTATGCCTATTCGGGCTTATTTGTTGTTTGTGCCTTCTACTGAAATGGAAAGCTTCCCAGTAGGCAGCATGTTCTTTGTTTTGCGGCGAAGAGGCAAGCCATGTGGAACATAGTTGGGGGGGGGGCTAGGCGGGTTGCATCGGGCTGCAACATGTTTCTGGGAGCCAATAGAGCCCCGCTCTCAGTTTGTTCAATATAGTGATATTGTGGATGGTTGCGCAATCCGTTATACAAACAAACCCAACAAACAGCGTTTTTAACCATGGTTTCAAAGTGGTGCGAACGAACTTTGTCCATCCACAGCAGGAATGGTCCTATGACAAGCATGAGAGAAACCAACCAAGACATTCAGGCAACCCTGCAATGACTTTGGGATTGGAAGAGCGAGGAAGTGGAAGCATTTGGAATCTCCATCAACATTTGTTTCACATGTCGAGATTCACCAATATGGGCCAGACTCAAACATCATGGTTCAATCCTATTTTTTTGTTGGGGGCAAAAGCTGAGGTTTGAAAGAGGGTGATGGGTTGGATAATGCTAGAACCGATGCAAAGTGTGCCATGGTTGAATCACCCTCAAACTTGGGGTTTGTAGGGGCGGTCACGCAGCCCTTAAGAAGAATGTAGAGAACCAGTGTAACTGGCTGAACGTTTGTTAACATCTCACATCTTTGCCTTTGACTAAAACAACGATAAACATAAATCTACGACGAATGCCCGAAATAGTGCAAGTAGACAGCCACAAGTCATGGCAAGTTGCAGGGTTTCCAACTTGCGTTGTTCCCTACTTGCAGTATTTAGTGCATCCCCCGCATTCCAGGGCTGAAGGTTGACCATGGTTCTCAAACGTCCATTCGCTTACGCATATCGTTTACTCCCCTGTTGGTGTTTACGGGAATCTGGAAACACCAGGGGGCGAAAACGCAAATGAGCCACAATCAAAGCGCGGGTAGATGAAGATTGCAAGGGACTTTTAATTCACGTGGTTCTTAATATTAGACCATTCTAATACCGAGTTTTGATTATGACTCAAATGGATGCAAAGTGACTTACCTACCCCTTGGGCACACGTGAGGCGCCGAGTGGCGGATTTTCGCCACGCTTTGGCGCGAAGGGTTTCTGCGGGTCTTCTTTCCCCGCGACGAGGATGGCACGCTGCTCGGAAACGGCGGGACGCTTGTGGGGGAACCCCCAACATGGCTTCGGTTTTCCTTGGGGTTTTCCTTGAAATCGCAACCAAGGAAAAGAAACGCCAGCTTAAAGTTGTTTTTTGGGGGGTAACCCCGGTTGTTTGCGGAAACCAACAACTTTGGGGGTCACCGAATTCTGAGACGCCCGATGTTCAAGCTAGGGAATGTTGAGCCAGGATCTACGTAAACTCGCTGGTTGATTGGGGGGTGTCCCCTTTTTGTGGGGTTCATCACTTCTGGAAGAGAACGGCCCCGCTATTTAATAGGTCGGGTTGATTTGTCCGGGGTCGACATGAAGTAGGTTACAACCAGAGCTATACGACAATCAACCCCTGTCCCACTGAATATCCACGCTGGGGAGGGAGTCTGGCGTCCGGGCCGAAGATGGAGCCTGCCTATGGGTTTCGGGTTCTCGATTCCACCAATTCGGGGAGGAGGGAACTAGCGTCACACGTCCTCCAGACGTTTCCAAGCATCAACTCTACTGGGTGCTTGTAAGAAGTCGTCCGGATGAGGTGTCCCCATGCAGATTTGCGTTACATGTTCAAGTAGTTATTGGAACAACGTATGTCATGATGTTTCCGTTAGTGTCCCCCTGTGTTTTGCCGAAGCAGTGCAGTACTGCTGTTGGGTTGGATCTTTAGACTTGTACTTTTGGACACTTTCATATGTCCGGACCACGAGCCACGAGCGAGTGTGCAGGTTAAGTTAGTCGGGAATGCCTCAAGCGTGCTTAACTTGGCAGGCCACAATCGTCAAAAGGAGGGGTCTACAGCGCCCAAGCCAACGTGCAAGACCAGTTTTTAGCTCCTTTCTTGGGACTGTATGGGCTTCTTCAACCCCCCAGAACGGGTAGTTGTCCTATTGCTTTCCCTTTCATCCGCCCAATGGGAACAAGGAACAAGGAACCAGGAATTCCCCCCCAAAAAAAGAACGCCATAAATCTGCAGCCTTTTTCTTCGGGGCGGTCCCAGCGACCACGCTTCATTACCGCCTTCCTGAGGCGTTACATGGGCGTCCTGGAGCGCCTGAAGCGCGTCTCCGAGCTGCGGGCGGTGCTAGGCTGCTAGGCTCGGAGACAAAAACCACGGGAGGTACCCCAAAACATATTCATAGATACTGGGGTAGACTTAGGATACATTTTTTACATTTTACCAGTGACTCAAAGTGAAACAAAAAAATGCAAACATTCTATAACTGGGCCGAACTCCAATCATGGGTAGGTGTGTCCTTCTTTGAGGCACCACTTTTTTGTTCGGGGTTCAAAATGGAAACCAACAGGAACGCCAAAATCTATTTTTGGGTGGTCCACCAAGCAAAAACACACAACACTGGTGTCCTTCTCAGGTCACTTTGGTTGGAAATAGATGGAACCCTGTTCAGATTGGTTTTGTTACCCAAGTTCCAGGGAAACTCATGTTTGTTTCTCTCCAAATCACCTATGCGCCCCTCTTGGCCCATTTGGGTCTGTCTTTTGAGGGCACCCTTTTTGGGATGGTTTCCATTCAAACAGCATTGTCAGTAACACGGCAATTGATGAGAGTAACGCCGCAGAAAGTCTGGATCCAGTAAGTAGTGCCCCCCCTAATTTGCGCTGTTACTATGCAGCATTTTTTTCCGCTGTTGCCACCTGTGTACTTTTACGCTGTTACCGCGCAGTCTCTTTTGAAAACCAAAAGGAAAACCGAGATCCATTTTTTGGGGGTGGCCAAAAAGAGAGACCCCCCCAATTTTAGTGGCAGGTGTTCATGTGGCTGTGGGTTTCAAAACCGTTTTGGGATCCCATTTTCGTTGGCAGGTGAATTCACCACCCATTTTAGAACCTATTTTAGTGGGGATTGGGATGTTGACTGAGGGTACGGGATTGCGACCCATGGCCATGTTCTATGTCTGGTTTTGGGGTGGGATCCTCAAACGAAGGCCCGAAGAGTGTGCGTGTTGCTTAGGCCTGGAGCGGTTCCACCAGATCGACTTGGCAAAGCAGCGGAAGCGGAACACAGTGGGCTGGGGGAAGACTGCGGGCACCCACCACATGCAGCACCTACCGGATCTGGTCTTCCGAGGCATCTTGGACTGGGGGCATGTCGGTTGTTAAGATTTTTCGGGGGTTTTCAAAGCTGTCAAAGTCAGAAACTGCGGTGTTTTTCCCTTAACCACTTGGGGAGGCGACTTTGATGGTGGTATAATATTGTGGCCAGTTGGAAAAGAGCCATTCAGCCATTGGAAACAGCCAGAAAATGTCGATGATTGAAGCACCGGTTTGTTTGGGTTGATGCGTGATTCCTGCGGTAAGCTCCAATTGGTGGCTTGGGCGGTGATTTGAGCCGCTGGTTCTTGAGGGTCCAATTCACCAATCCCCACCGAATAATATCAAGACTTCCCCCTCAGACCTCACAGCATCAACACTTGCCAACACTATCATACGGGCGGGATGTCAATCATATGACTCCCTGAATCGTTTCGGTCCTGAAAGAAAACTTGTGTTGGAACTCATTAAGTTACCAAGAGTTCACTGACTACTGCCCTGCATCCCCTGTAAATTTAGATGGAACATGAAAGCCCTCATTTCTAGAGGAGTCTCAGCGCCTTTTAGGGGACCAAGCCCCCAATCAACCCACCCCGCCAACCGACCCGCCAGCCAGCCAGCCAGCCAGCCAACCAACCAGGCCCGCCAGGGCTAGTCCTGTGCCATCACCTAGAGTAAATGTGGGTACATATTATCTACATTGGGAAAGGAAGCGATGAGGGAGAGGACTTTCCAAAATCCAAAACACCATGCCTTTTGTTGCATCGCCCAGCGTTCCACCATTCCTTCAACAGAAAGGCAAGCCAAAGAGAGTCCCTTGCCATAAGTGCCTGAGGACGGCCTGCAGTAAGAAAAAGGGGTCTAAGTACGTTCTTGAAAGCTTGGTGGCCATTGTCCCCTCAAAAAACAAGCAACGGTGTCGGCTTCCCAGTTACAAAGGTTGGTGCAAGAACCAGAGGTTCAACTCTAATTCCAAACCACCAGGCTCCAGAGCGAACCCTATGGGCACTTAGCTTGGCCGAACATCCAAGCAAACCTTCAGCCTGTTCCCTTGAGTGGATGTCTTTCCTCCAGAAACGGGACCCCTGAATAGTATCCCGGGCAGGCTTCGAGCAGGGTCGGAGGTTTAGGGCGGGTTTAGGGGGTGGGTTTGGTTTAGTGGCTCTGCCCTTTGAAACCCACCCATGTGGCCATGGGTCAAAATCCAAATCGTACCCCCAGTGAATATCCCAATCCCCACAAAAATAGGTTCTAAAATGGGTGGTGAATTCACCTACCAACCAAAATGGGATCCCAAAACGGTTTTGAAATCCACAGCCACATGAACACCTGCCACTAAAATTGGGCGTGTCTCTCTTTTGCCACCCCGAAAAATGAATGTCGGTGTTCTTTTGAAACCCACCCAATGTGGGTCTTGGACAAGTCGCGCCGAGTCGCGCCGGGTAAAAAGGCCGGGACCGGCGGATCGCGCGGGCGGCGCTGCAACGAGCCGCGCAGCTCTTTGCGGAGCCCCAGCGCTGCCTGCAGCTGCACCAGGACGTACAGCCCACGCAGTGGGTTCCCCTCTTTTTTTCCGGTTGTGCTGATTGTTCCGTTTTTCTTTGTTTCTCGGTTGTGCTGTTTGTTCCGTGCTTTGTTCTGTTATTTTTTTTTGGTGCTGTTTGTTCCGTTTTTATTTGTTTCTCGGTTGTGCTGTTTGTTCCGTGTTTGTATTTTTATTTTCGTTTTTTGTGCTGTTTGTTCCGTTTTCTTTGTTTCTCGGTTGTGCTGGTTGTTCCGTGTTTTTTTTTTCTGTTTTTTTTGTGTGCTGTTTGTTCCATTTTGTTTGTTTCTCGGTTGTGCTGTTTGTTCCGTGTTTTGTTTTTATTTTCTTTCTTTGTGCTGTTTGTTCCGTGTTTTTTTCTTTTATTTGTTTTGTGCTGTTTGTTCCGTTTTGTTTGTTTCTCGGTTGTGCTGTTTGTTCCGTGTTTTTTTCTTTTCTTTTTTTTGTGCTGTTTGTTTGGTTATTTTGTCTGCGTGAATGTGTGTCTGCGTGTCTGTGTGTGTGTGTTTAGGTGCGCTTGCGCGTGCACGTGGGGCGTGCGCTTTGGCGTGCGCATGAGCGCGGGCGTGGGCATGTGCCTTTGTGGCTGTGAGTGCGCGTGTGCGTCCGTGCGTGTGTGCGTGCGTGCGTGGGTCTGTGTGTGTGTGTGTGTGTGCGTGCGTGCGTGTGTGCTTGCGTCCGTGCGTGCATGCGTGTGTGGGTGTGTGTGTGTGGGCGTGTGCGTGTGCGTGTCGGTGTGCGTGCGTGTGTGTGTGTGTGGTGTGTCTGTGTGTGTGTGTGTGTCGGTGCGTGTCGGTGCGTGTCGGTGCATGTCGGTGCGTGTCGGTGTGCTTGTCGGTGCTTGTCGGTGCGTGCCGGTGCGTGTCGGTGCGTGTCGATGCGTGTCGGTGCGTGTCGGTCTGTGTGTGTGTGTGTGTGTTTGTGTGTGTCCGTGTGTGTGTGTGTGTGCGTGTGTGTGCGTGTGTGTGTGTGTGTGCGTGTGTGCATGTGTGCGCGCATGTGTGTGTGTGTGTGTGTGTGTGTGTGTGTGTGTGTGTGTGTGTGTGTGTGTGTGTGTGTGTGTGTGTGTGTGTGTGTGTGTTTGTTTGTTTGTTTGTTTGTTTGTTTGTTTGTTTGTTTGTTTGTTTGTTTGTTTGTTTGTTTGTTTGTTTGTTCGTGTGTGTTTGTGTGTGTTTGTGTGTCTTTGTGTGTCTTTGTGTGTGTTTGTGTGTGTGTGTTTGTGTGTGTGTCTGTGTGTGTCTGTGTGTGTCTTCGGCCATTAAACAAATGTCCTTGGGACAACGGACATTTTTTGCTCGAGAAGGGACATTTTTTGTATCCACTATGGGGGCTCAATTTCTTCGAGTGCTCTGATCAGGGCAAATTGACACGATAGACAAACCATAGACAAACCATAGACATACCGTAGACATATCATAGGCAAGCAAAAAACCGCTACAAACAGTAAGGTGTAAGTCAGGGGTACTTAATTCCGCAGAAGGGGAAACACATAGCAAAATCAGGATATTCACATCAGGTCGAGCCGTAAAACCGAGATTTGTCGAGCTCGTTGCTCGTTGCTTGCGACCGAGAGGGACCGTGGACAAACCGTAGACAACCCGTAGAAAGTACATTTTCTGCCGTAGAAAGTACATTTTCTGCCGTAGAACGGCCATTTATTGCCGTTGAAAACACATTTTCTGCACACCCCGTTTTTGCACCATTTTGGTGTCAATTCGCGGCACGCGACTTCTCAGGACATTGTTGCTCTTTTCTGGCTTGGCAATTGGGCAATCAAAGACTTGTGCGCCAAATATGCATGCATGGATCGATGGATGTATGCTGGACCAGTACATGCATATGAGGGCCGTCCTAAAACCCCAGTCTTCGGTTTTAATCATCGCCGAACAGGGAGAAGTAAAAGTTGTCAAAAGCTGTGCGCGCGCAAGGAGCGCGCAAGTGCGGCCCAAGGGACGCGCAAGGTTACAGTTTTGAAGGGTTTCATGCACTGATGTTGCCTAGCTTCAGGAAAGGAGGTGATATTTTCTTGCTGTAGTTGTGCCTTTCAAATCAGTCAGACGCCAAACGAAGCCAAAGCTTCTGCGGTCATGACTTCAACAATCAGCAATTGACACGACAAAATCCGCGCAAGCCGCGCGCAAGCCGCGCGCAAGTTGCGCGCAAGCACGAGAAGCCCCAGCAAGACATCTAGCCATGCTGTCTCGGATGTCCTTAGCGGCGCGGTTCAAGCAATGGATAGGCACCCGCAACATGCACTTTCTTTCTTTCAGGCTGTGTCCAAGCTGTGTGGCAGAGCCTGCTGTTCTTTCTGTTGGGTCAAGGGTATGTTGCTGGCATTGAATTGCCGGGAGCGACCTCAGCGGGAAAAGTCTTTGTGGGTTGCTGTGTGAACGACAAACACACTGCTTAGAAAAGCTTGTGCGCAATCCACACGAAAACCTCGCAAACCGAGGTCAACGAAAACGAGTTTCTGCGCCGCTGTGCGCGCGCAAGTACGCGCAAGTGCCGCGCAAGCGCGGCCCAAGGGCCCAACCGCGGGCAAAGGAATATAGGACAACCCCCATATATCAAATAAACATTTCCCGAGCCGTGCTCCGTGGCTGACATTGGCAAGTTTCTACAGAAGGCAATGCGAAGCGCACGAAGCACTCTCAAGCTCGGCAAAATGGGACTGTGCAGCCCCTTCCAGCTACTTTGAAGTGGGATTTTCGTGAAAATCATGATCCAACCAAATTTAAGCAAAAAATAGCCTTTTCCCAGAAAATGTACTTTACCACCTCGGCCATTTATTTAATGTCCTTTGGAAGTCTAGGGTGTGTGTGTGTGTGTGTCTGTGTCTGTGTCTGTGTCTGTGTCTGTGTCTGTCTGTGTCTGCGTCGGTGTCTTTCTGTGTCTGTGTCTCTGCCTGTGTCTGTGTCTCTGCCTGTGTCTGTGTCTGTGTCTGCCTGTGTCTGTGCCTGTGTCTGCGTATGTCTGTGCTTGTGTCTGCGTGTGTCTGCGTGTGGCTGAGTGTGTCTGCGTGTGTGTGTGTGTGAACGTGTGTGAGTGTCTGTGTGCGTCTCTGTGTGTGTGTGTGTGTCTGTGTGTGTGTGTGTTTGTGTGTGTGTTTGTGTGTCTTTTTGTGCTTGTGCTTGTGCTTGTGCTTGTGCTTGTGCTTGTGCTTGTGCTTGTGCTTGCGTGTGTCTGCGGGGGGATGTTCCATGGTTGTTTGAGGCGCAAGAAACCAACCCGAAGGCCGGGCCCTGCCGGCCGAGTCATTCTCGGGGCGCGTCTTGAAAAGTGGACTTGTCGCTCCATGCGTTCATGGACTCTGTACTTGTTAGGCTTGGAATTGTGGAAGCCAAACAACTTTTGGACTTGGCCAGTCGGAGGTGATGTCCCTGGGTCGATGATTCCCTCAGGGCACGAAATTAAACCCAACGTTCAACTCAACCGAGTGAAGCTCAATTCGATGTTCAACTTGAACAGCTGGGAAGTTGAAAAGTTTGGCAGCTTCCAGTCAAACATCAATTCGAGTTTCAAGTCTTGCACCCGTTTTTGTTGGGAAGCCCCATCTCCCAAAACACCAAGACCAGAAAAAAAGGAAGAAGAAAAAAGAACGCTGCAGGAATGGGACCGGACCCCCATCTTCCAAGACCTGGTGCTGGTGGGGGGTGGCCACTCCCACGTGCACGTGCTGCGCATGTTGGGCATGGAGCCAGTGCCAGGGGCTTCCGCCTCAGTGTCGCACCGGGGGGGTGGATTTGGGGGCCTCGATTCCCATCCATTGGACGTCTCACTTCCTGAGTTCCGGAACTTGGACTTGAGTCGCTTTTCAGCTTGGACCGTTTTGTTTGTAAACCAATAAAACATGCTTTCTTGTTTTTTTTTTGGGGGGTGGGGGGGGCAAGTCCACTCAGGAAGCGAGACGTCCTTTTGATCGGTTTGGTTAGAAAACAGGTGGGTTCCACTGTTTTAGATGAGCGAACATTAGCCAATTGCCGGGGAAACCCATCGATTTTTTGCAAAAGGCCTGCAAAACGTGGGTAAATATGTATTGTTGGGACTCCTCTTTTCCCATGGAAGATATCCGGCCCTTTTGATTCTTCACTTGCATGGGCTTGGGCACAAAAATACTACCCATTCCCTTCTCGCGCGTCCCAAGGACCCCCCCCTTGGCACAGCGGGGTGGACGTGAAATGTCCCGAAGTCCGCCACAAGTGAGTCACAATCAAAACCCGGCTAAATGAAGGTTGGTAAGGGACGATCCCGATCACAAATAGGTGCGGCCGCCTTCTTAATTCTCGACACGGTTCTGGTTAGATTTGTTTCATTACACCCCCGGAATATGCCCAAGTATTGGTTGGTGTGTGTGTGTGTCCATGTGTGTCCTAAAATGGCAAGGACACCAAATGGGCATCGCAAATGGTTGACAAGCCAGCCAGACAGTGCCGAGCACTGGGCACCTGGCCCAGGTTTCAGGAACCCAGGCGCCAGGGTTTTTCAGGCCACGGTCTGCGATACCAAGGGACCCCCCTTTGAAAGTGTCGGGGTGTTCCCTAAATAGGACGCGGGCCCCCCAACATGATTGGCTTCCTTTCGGTTTCCCTTTAAAACCCAAACGAAACGGGGTGCACCATGTTGTTTTCAAGAATTCACATATAGTCATGGGGATGGGAATCCCATTGTGGTGCACCCCCAATCCAAATCGCAGGTTTAAGCAAACCTTGGCTCTTTACCCCACTCATGGGGGGTTTGTGTAGGGTTTCTTTTGTTTGTTCAACGTTAATTTCCTTGTAACTAAGTTATTGCGACACCGACGGTGGTTTTTGTTTGGGCCGACTTCCGATGACCAGTTTTTTTATAACTCCCTTCAAGAATGCAGGCGGGCTTGGCAGCCAGCGGTCCGGTGATTTGGTTGCTTTCCACCCAAAGGGACTTGGGGGATCCTCAAAATACTCCGCCTCAAAGACGTGTATTTCGGTGGAATTGGGGCTAAAACCCAATAAAACGAAGGCGCCACACCAAGGTGAACCTCGGGTCTTCTAGGCTCGGCTTGCTTGTGAAAGACATGCGCCAGATTTTCGGGTTTCATCACAAGTCTCTTTGGAGCAACAAACCGACGCTGGCCCAAGGCTGAACAAAGCTGATGAGTTCGGGACTTCCCCTATGCTTCATGAACCCTCCAGTTTGGTTTCAAGCAACTCCAGGAAGGGTAATGTTGACCCAGGATTAATCAACCCGTCCCATTATTGGGGGAGTGTTCCCTCCAAAAGTGGTCTGAATCCCCACTAAAAGGGGACACCCCCCTTATTAATCAACCAGGGGTTTATTAATCCGGGGTTAGCATTATGTTTTTTTTTTTCCTGAGGCTACCCTTCTTGGGTTGTTTTGGAGGCAAACCCAAAGGACAAACACCAGTTTGAGGGTAGACCACCGATGGAAGGAATGCTCATGGGAAGATGGCGTGCTCCAAAGCACACTCACTCCGGTTTGGAGTGGGTTTGCCCTGAACAAGTCAACCGCGAAAGATGGGCGGCTCTTATGGCAATCCGCTGGAGTGGGGTCGCCAACTTAAAACTATGATGTACGTTAGGCCAAGTATGGTTAACACAATCAGGGCATGTGACTTTTGCCGTACCCTGTATATAAAACAAATGATCAGTACATGTTGTGCTCACTTCCTGAGTTCATGAACTTTAAACTTTTTGGCAAGACCATTTTAGTGGTAAATATAAAGTTCGGACTTTTTTGGGGCCATCAGTGAGTATGTTTGGAGTACGTCCCCCGGAGGTCTCGGAGCTGTTGGTTTCGCGAAGCGAAGCGATCGATTTTCGAGGTCCGGGTGACTCTGGTCACCCGGGACGTGGAGACCCCCTACAGCGGCATGCTGCCAGGGCACATCGCCGGTCTCTACACCCGCGAGGACAGATGGTGACACCCACAAGCCCCAAAAGGTCCCCTTGTATATATATATATATAGGTATATGTATAATAATTACAAGTAAGGTCCGGCAGAGCCGGGGGGCGGAAGTTTCAAAGCAGTGAACAACTATAGTTTGGAGAACTGTCCTTGGCCCCTTGCTTCTCTCTCTCTTTCTCTTTCTCTTTCTCTTTCTCTCTTTCTCTCTGTCTCTTTCTCTCTCTCTCTCTCTCTCTCTCTTTCTCTCTCTCTCTCTCTCTTTCTATCTCTCTCTCTCTCTCTCTCTCTCTCTCTCTCTCTCTCTCTCTCTCTCTCTCTCTCTCTCTCTTCTCTCTCTTCCAAAGCTCCCAACGAGCGCTTCAAGTTCAACTCTCCTCCCTCCCCCCCGAGAGCGCCTTTTCTTTGCGTCTGCCCAAGCCGTGCTGTAGTCTGGGCTGGAGCACGCGGCCCGAAACGGCACGCGTGTCAAGCGCAAAAGCTAGGCTTTTCTCTTCGTCTGCTTCAGCGGTGCAGCAGTCCGCGCGAGCGCGCGGCCCGACGCGGCACGCGCCGACACGAACGCGCGGCCCGAAACGGCACGCGCGTCATCAAGCACGAAAGCTGGGCGAGGTCAATCGCACGGCCGACCGAAACGCCAAGCCGCGCTGCAACTACCGAAAGCAGTTGTACTCGAAAATGCATGCGTGGGTGCGTGTGCTTGCTGTGCGTGTATATGTGTGTGTGTGTGTATGTGTAGAACCTGCTCAAGACACGACAGTGACTATGATTTGGAGCCGATCGGAGCGCAGTGAACCCCCCGAGTCACACAACCAGCTTTCCAGAGTTCTGCGCATCTGTCTATTTATGCTCTCTCTCTCTCTCTTTCTCTCTCTCTGTCTCTCTCTCTCTCTCTCTCTCTCTCTCTCTCTCTCTCTCTCTCGAACTCTATACCTGGCAAGCCACCCATGTCGGACCACAATCGCAAGACAGCTACCTGGCAACAGCTTCCTCCCCCCCCCCCGGTGGTGTAGGAACCTTCAGAGCCCTGTGACTGTGACACCATGTGGCAAAAAGGAACAAGTCTTACAACAAGCCTCACCAAAGCGGCCCCATCTTTTCTACTCCGGGCCCTCTGCTCCGCACGCTCGTAGGCACGCTGGCCGAAGCGCCAAGCGCGTCCGTCGGTGCCAACATCCGTGCTGACACGTCGCGCGCGTCGCCGGCCGAAGCGCCAAGCGACGACTACGCCTGCGTGACATCACGTCGCAGGTGGCAGCTGCCTGCGGCCCAAGATGAGTTCCCACGCAAGTCGTCCGTGCTCTGAAGACATGCGCGCGACTTCGCGAACTTTGCTGAACATGATCCACTGCCTGCACGTCTCCACGCCACTGATGCTCAGACGATCGCACTGCCGCTGAGCCGCTGTGTCCGACACGCCGGGCCCATGGATTGTGTCCCAGCACCGCTCGCACACACCTGTGCGCTCCAGCTCGCGTCTGCCTGGCTCTGTTTGCCACCTGTCGTCGGCTATGGCTTTCGTGCACGCCACGCATTCCTGCGAAGCCAAGCGCTCGGGCACGCTTAGGTTTCTCCTGTACACGTCCTTCAGCGCATTCAGCGCGTCGCCGCTGATGCTCACGAAAGTCGCCATGTCAACGCCGGCCGAAACGCCAAGCGCGGAGACTGCCTGCTATGGCGCGGAGCGGCCGGCCGAAACGCCAAGCCTGCTCCTAACACGTAATGGCCGTGTGACTCGCTGTGGCAAACTTGCTGCGCCGTGGAAAACAGCTCTTTAGTGACAAGATGTTGCGCTGCGTGTGTGCGTGTGTGATGTGTGGGTGTGCGTGTGTGTAAACATAAGCCCAAGTCACAGTAGTAACTGATTTTGAGCCGTTCAAAAAGCAACGACACTGAGCGAACAAAAAACACGGCACCCGTCAATCACAGCCCTCTTGTGTCCCACAAATGAGGCCTTAATAAGGGCTTACTAGGGTGGGGTTCCTTTGGCTTCCCCTTACAACCAACCAAAAAAAAAACAGGCATCAGACTTCACAAAATGGGCGGTGCCCCCTTCTCGTTTCCCGAAAAGAGTGGTTTTCCGTTGGGTTCCCTTTAAAACCGAGCCAAAAAAACAAAAACGGGCACCGAGCCCTGCAAAATGGTGGTCTCCCTTCAAAAAGCCACAAAAACAAATGGGCACCGGACCTCCCAAAATGGACCTTCCGAGGTCTGTTAAGGACAGCAAAGGCAAAAAGAGGTGAGCTCCAGGGGTTGCATCGTGGCTTTTGTCCCACGCGCAAAAGTGGTTGATCCTTCGCCCTTTTAGAAACAAAACCCTTATCAGCGCATTGCTTCTTAATCAAATAACAAAAAGGCCATACTGGACAAGCTGAACAACACGAAGCCGCTAAAATCTCCCCAGCTCCGTCTCCCGCCCCGCCCCCGCAAAAGCCAGCCTTGCGGCTGGTCGTCACTGCTTGCTGGCGCAGCAACTACGCGGCCCGAAACGGCACGCGCAGCGCTACGCTCATGCTTTGGAGTCTCCCGTCCTTGCGCGCTCCAGCAGCCGCTGGAGCGACTCATGCAGGTCCCGCATATACTTCTCTGCTCGCATGCACCACTTCACTTCCTGCGCAGAGAAGTTTGGATGAGTTCCGGCCAAGTACGTGACGAACTCGTGCCCCTGATCAATGAGCCCATCCCGCTGGCCGTCGGGATACAGCCGAGGCAGGAACCGCGGCAGCTGCTGCAGCTGCAGCTGTTGTCGCCGATCTTTGTGATACTGCTCACTGTGCGTGCGCGTCAAGCCGCATGCGCAAGCCACCTGCTGGTAGAAACCTATGTTGCGCAGCTTCTGCACGTTGTCTGTGTCCCAGGTGCCGCGGTTTGGACTGGCCAGCGTGCCCAAGAACGAGAGCGCGTGCATCTTGAGAGTGGTGCCGTGGTCCGCCGATAGAGCGTGCCACTGATCGCATGCAGCGCCGAGACCGGCGATGGCTTCGTTGCCGCGGCACATCCTAGACTTCTGCAGCATGTACGGGCAACACTGCTGCACCAGCTGGTAGCTGCGCGTGTACCCGTCCCACACGGGCTGGGCGCGGCCGCCCCACATGGTGTGGACGAAAGCCTGCTGGCACTTCCGCACGTCCTTATCTGCGGGCAGCGCGCGAGCCCACGCCCTTGAGTCATCACTGCAGAAGCGCACACCCGCCCCGTCCATAAAGTCAAGCACGGTCACCTCGTGCAGGTTCCTGCTGGCAACCTGCCTTGCAAAAAGTGCCCCAATTTGGAACTCTACGGGCCCCCGTAGGTGCGGGTGCATCACATTTGCCGGCTGTAGCCTGGATAACACAAAATGCCCAAGCGCTTGGAACGCCAGCTGCAAGCCGTCGCCTTCGCTGGGCGAAATCCCAAGCGAAGCGAGCGCATCATCGCCGGCCGAAACGCCAAGCGACAGCGTGTGCACATTACTGCGAAGGCCGCAAGCATGTAGTCCGTGCCATAGAAACTCTTCTGCGTGCTGGCCGACGAGCTGGCGCATAGTCAGGCTCGGAGGCAAGGCAGCGGCGACGCGCACATGCGCGTGCGCCTCTTGCACCAGATTCTGCGGCGTGACGTCCACATAGCTGCCGTCGTTGCCGCCCCACGATCCCTCTGCCGCCCTGGCCGTGGGTCTGAGAGGCGCCAGCACGCGAGGGCACGCGAGCACTTCCTCGGCCGAGAGCAAGGTGTCGTGGTGCACCAAGAAGTGCAAGTCCGGCACAGGAGCTGGCTCGGATACCTCCGACATCTGCGCGCGCTTTGACGCGGCTCGGAGCGCCGCACCGAAGCTTGGGAAGTCTTCGCCCCCAGGGTCCGGCGCCGGCCACAAAAGATACTCGTCCACGAAGTACGCCCACAGGTCGCACTCTTGCAAGCAAGTCTGCATGGCCGCCCACCAGCTCCGTGCGCCCTGTGTCCGCGGCAGAAACACGCAGTAGGCCGACCCCTGCCACGCTTCCGCGGCCACGTTTCGCAGCGCGCAGCAGAAGTATAAGTAGCGCTGCACCTGCATCATGACGTCCACCTCCAGCTCTCGGCAATGCGCGCCGAGGCGGCTCAGCAACTGCGCCGGCACGTACGCGCCGCCTGCGCTCCGCAGGATCGCCATCATGTGTAGGAAGATGGCGAACTGGCACCGACCGAGCCAAGACGTCTGCTGACCCACCAGACTGCTCGGGAGACCGCAGACATCCAGCATGTGGCTCTCGTGGGCATTGAGCTCGTCTCGCAGAGCGGCGTCGGCCGTGAGCCTCGCCTCGAGCGCGCCTGCCGCCTGGCCCCATGTGTCTGCAGCTGAAGAGTCCAGTAAGTACATGGCGGGCTTGTGCGATCCGCGCGCCGGAGCAAACATAGCGGATGCCGCCTGCTCGTCCTCGGACATGTCTACGTGGGCACACGCCGCGACAGCCAGAAAGTCAGCGCGGCGACGGATGGCCACCGCCCGCCGCCTGCTCTCCACTTCTATGACTTCCGGCCTGGGATGGAAGCGCACGGACCTTGCCGCCCGCTCCGGCGCGTCAGTGGACGAGGCCGGCCGAAGCGCCAAGCCACCGCCCTCCACTCTCCCGGCCATCGTCTGGGACGCACTGGGGTCGAGAAGGCCTTGCTGCAACATTGTCGCACGCACGCAGAGACACCAGCTGGCGTCCACCGGGACGTCGCGAGGGCTGCACAAGCTGCATTTCTCCGGAAGCGACTCGCAAATGCACTGGAAGCATGGCTGCCAGCTAGCCAGCAAGGAGTTCTCCGCGTTGCTCGCGGTCTGAAAAACCATCACTGCGTGCCGCTCTGCTCCGAGAGCGTGCAGCAGCTGTTGTTTGTCCGGCGTCAGCATCCTTTCGAAAAGCCACTGCAGCTGCCCGCCCCGGTTCGAAACAACACGGCGCGGGTCGCCTACATCCGCAAGGACGACATCAAGGTTACCCCGGTGGCGCAGGTGCGCCACTAGCCGTTCCTTGGCGCGGTTTACTACATTATTAGGC